TCAGTACTTGAATCCAAGATTAAATCAGGAAAACAAGCTTTATTAGTGAACTCTCAGTCCAAATTCATTTTCAGCATATTTTCAACAAAGTTCAGTACTGAGCAAGTGTAATAAGCTGAAATATACTTATATCAACCCTCAGAATAGACCACAGCAGCTTGGAACTCGAAACCAGTACTCAATCCAGCCCTTGCACCAGTAAACTTGATAGCAGCATCATCTCAGCACTTAGTACACACCCCAGGATTGATTCAATGTGTTTTTCTTGCATGAGTCATCATCAAATAGCAAAGAAAAACTTGATTGACATAGTATGCTCGAGGGTTCTCATCTACAGCTCAATATTCAATGTGTATTGTAAAGGCTTAAACCCTAAAGAGCCTTATCACAGCATATTTATATCAATATACACACAACAGCCCATGTACTGCTACAATACACCTGTCACCTTGCACCAATGATTGGGAGAGCATAATTCAGGTATTTTCAGGGCAATAAACCAATGAAGGCCTGCCACCTGAGCTGTTTTGTCACCTTGCACACCAGAATTCATACACACACAATAAACTGCTATAAATTGCATTTTTCTCTAGACTTAGCCTCCAAGAAATGTAATATTCTTGCATATACCAGCTCTATAGGACCACTGAGACGTGTCACATTCTTGAGCATAGCTGGAAAGGACCAAAATACCCTTGTAACAGATTTAACTCTTCTCAGCACTGTGAAAGTCTTAAGACTGTATTCCTTACATTGTAGGTTCAACTAAGGCACTTCAGTGTAATGCAGCTACCTGAGCATACGTATATACATGAAATACAACTGAGAAAAGACCATAATACCTCTGTGAACACCTATAGCTGAATTTGAAGTACTGAACCTTCACTGTCACAGTGATTTTAATCAACATCAGCTGATACATTGTAATGCACTATTACAAACCAGTGAATAAAATGTATTACAAAGTAGTAAATGACAATAATACCCCTGGACCTTATTTCAAAACACAATGCAGATAGAGTTCATAGTTGAAACCACTGAAACTATACTTTTTGACATTAAAAGGCAAACATTGCTTAAGGCAACTTAGGACCAACACTTTATGCTTCTGGGGTTCTGGAAGGAATTGTTCCTCCCTGGAGGAGACAATTGATTTTATTTCTTCTTTGGGTCCATAGTATTCTTTTGCTACTCATGGGACGCGTTCCTCTTTTGAATGCTTTTTATTGAATTTGCTTAATTATCAAAATAATAATAATAAACAAAATAAACAAAAAAATATATATCATTCTGGTGGTTCACGGACTTGACATGATAATGGTAATGATTATTCCTAGTGTCATGTCTAAGTTTTGGAGAAACAGATGTGTCACCCCTAGTATATATATATGCCAAGTTCTCACGGAGTTGGGTGAGTGAATCATTTATATCGCTAATGACATGCTCTATTCTGTGCATTCTCAATTCCATTGCGAGTGGGGCCTTGGACACGTCTTAAATGGCCAAGGTGGTCTCAATGGGACGACAATGTGGGTATGACATTTGTTAGGAAAGAATTGCCAATATATGACCCAAATTAAATTAAGTAAACTAAATTATGAATTATTGCAATGCTCGCACAAGAACAAAAATACAAATAAGGGTGAATATTACAAACTAGTTCATGAGAACTGATGCAAAAGGTGGAATTTGAGTGCAATATTGGTGATGGTAAAGCTAGGGAATGGTGTAGCACAAGATCATTCAACAAGAAAATGATGATTTTATGTTTAAGCCAAGACCTTTTGCAAATTTATGGGCTTCCAAATAGATAAAAGTACTAGTTTCAATTTTCAAGTGAAGTAGGCTTACCTTTACCGAAGTCCAATGCAGCTATCCGAACAAAGAAAGCTCCAAAAAGTTTCTCCAAAAGCTGAAGTTGATCAATCCCACTTCGAAATAATTTTCTGAACTTTTTTTGGTTCTGCTGCACTTGTTTCCTGTTGAAGATTACTGAACTGTTTCTGGGCTGGTTTTAGAATTGGCCAAACCAATCTGATCCAATTCTCTCGACTGCTGTTTCTTTCCTTTTCTTTTCTTTTCTTTTCTGTTTCTGGATCACTGTTGTACTGGGCTGGCCTTGTTTTGAACTTGCTTCCTGGACCAGGTCAACTTGTTTTAATTGATTTGGGGCGGGTAGAATCTGGTTTATAAGAGAAACAAAATCTATCCTATCCAAACCCATTCTGATTTTCAAATTTGATCTTTCGAAACCAGAAGGTATAATCCAAAGTTGACTTTCCAAATTCAGTCGCGCTGAAATTTTGGTGACAATAACGATCTGAAAGATTGCAATAATGCAAAGTTGATTTTCCAAAATCAATCCCTGAATTCTGTGCTAAAGTGGCAATACCGACAATAACCAAATTTGACTTACGAAAATCAAACACTGAATTCTCAGCTGAAGTTGCGATGCGAAAGATGGCAGTGATGATGAGACGATGAAATCGATGGCAAAATCTGGTGAAGACTGTCCGACGACGGGCTGATGTCAAGATGTGACAGACGTTAATGAGAAAGCCAACGATGATGCACAACAGATGAAGGAGGGCTGACGGCAAAGGATATTGGCGACAAGAGAGAACTCCAGCAATGATGATCTGTGATTTCACTCTGCATAAACTTGATCGTTTTGCTCTAATACCAATTGACGCAGGACAAGTAACCAGAAAGAAAGAAAGGGATGAGAAAATAGAAGAATAGATAGGCTAGAAGAAGGGGATTAGAAAATAGAAGAAAGGGGGTAAGAACAAAGTGAATAGATAGGTAGGATAGACTGAATGGGGAGAAAAGCAAGAACAGAAATGAGAGAAACAATAGAACACAGAAAGAGACTCAGAAAACGATAATCAATATTCTCCAAAACTGAGTTCTCAAATTACAAAGGAGCCTTTAAATAGGCAAATTATTAAGCAAACCCTAAAACATAAAAATACTAAAGTAACCCTAAAATTCAAACATTATCAAAATAACAATAAGCATAAATAAAACACTAAATCACTAAAATCCCCAATTTATTTCTTTTTCCCTCTTCACCAAAAGTAATGTTGAAGCATGTGCAACTAATGTATTCGAATCATATCCCATTCCCCATCACCGAGTCTAATGTTGCAAGAAGCATGGATAAATTAACTATCAGATTATAGCTACTGGTAATTTTAGTTTAGATTCAAAAAGCAGTTAAAATCAATTGAAGTCTTAAGCAAGACTATTTGAGACCCGCCCCACACACATGTACGCGCGCGCGCACAAAAAATAAAGACAAAAGCTTTCTAGATTAGGGACCTTGTGCAACTGTCTATGAGAGCCTAGGGTGCAGAACAAGTTACTCTAATTTACTGAATAGATCAGGGAGGTACTTTCATATCTAGACCTATTATAATTGAAGGGTCAAATTATAGTTACTGCAGAGCCCACATGAGAGCTTTTCTTAAATTATGGATGAACTATTATGATTAGTAGCTATAGAGAATGCTTGGACACATCCTACTAGGAATGAAGTTCAAAAGTATGAAATGGACCAAAGAAGAACTTGTTGACGCTAATTCAATTATAAGGCCTTAAATGCCCTCTTTACTGCTGTTAATCCTACAGAGTTTGGTAGAATTGTTAATTGTCCTACTGCTAAGGAAGCTTGAGAAATTTAAGAGAAAGTGCATGAAAGTACAAACCCTATCATAATCTCTTAATTTCGGATGTTAAACCACTAGGTTTGAAAATCTTAGGAAGGAAGAAAATGAGACCTTTGATTAATTATATACTAAGATTAATGATACAGTAAATACCAGCTATGTAATAGGAAAAGCAATTTCTGAGAACAAGGTTGTTAGAGAAAAACTTAGATCCCTACCACTTAGATTTCAATCAGAAGTCATGGCCATAGAAGATAGTAAAGATGTTGACACTATTAAGGTAGTTCATCTAGTAAGCTCTCACTTGAAACCTCTGAGGTAAGGTCCCTCTTCCTAGCAAGAACAATGGCATAGCACTTAAAGCTGTTAAGAAAGAGTAGTGACAGACAACTCTAGTAGTGACTCTGAGGAAGAAATAACTTTACTTGCTAGAAAATTTAAGAAGTTTTGGAAAAAGTCAAAATATAATTCAAAATCTGTTAAGAAAGTTACCTCAAAGGATAGATGAGGCTAAGAAAGACTAGAAGAAAAGGTTAAACAGAATCACATGTTGGAACTGTAGTGAGAAAGGACACACTAAAAGTGATAAGAAAGTGAAAGCAAAATTCTAGTAGAAAATTTTACCAAAAACTGAACACAAAAAAGAAGATGAAGCTCCTAGTAAGCTTCAAACTGCCTTCAATGACTTGATTGAGGAGACTATTCAAGCTAAAAAAGATAAATAAAACTTAAAAGAGAAGATTAAGAAACGTGAGAACACCATAGATGAAAACGAGAAAGAAAAATGTACGAATTTATATTTCATCAATGAACTTGAGAAAGAAGGATTTGCTTAGCAAGAAAAAATTCTTAAAACAAAAACATAGTGAAGCAATAAACCTAAAGTCAATCTACATAAAAAAGATAAAAAATATATATATATATATATATATATATACAAAAACATAAAAAAAAAAACTTGGAGAATGAACTGAAAAAATCTAAGGTAATGGCTGCTAAATTTACTCTAGGAACTCAAAATTTAGATAAACTATTAAATAAACAACAGAATATACAACAAAAGATATACAGAGAATACATAGAGTTTATGCAAATCACAGACCTATTCACCCCCAAACCCCCCTAAAGTGTAAATCACAAACCTTGCGCCGCTCTCTATCAATGCCTAGCGTGTCAGTCCTTATCCCAAAAAGAACAAATTGAAACAATCAATGAAGAGTAAAAGCATAATATGAAGGTGTAAACGGGTTCAATCAGAGGGGGGGGAATCCAAAAATGCCGCCTCAATAACCTAAAAGATATATATATATCCCAGAGAGAATTAATAACCTGCTTGGAAGGGCGCCACAAGCATGTTGTATGCGTCCAAAGAAACCACTCGATATAGATGGCTTACTAATCCGAACATAGGGTGCTAACATGCCAACCAAAGCAATGTCAACAACCACACCAACCAAAAGATCTGCAGCATACAACTCAAATTCTGCCCAAAAGTCTTTTCCCCTTTTCTGAACTTCCGCAAATGTTGCACAGCAAGAATCAATGACTACCTGCATCATATCTAATTAGTGACACATATTCTTGAACTGATAGAAATGTATGTATGGTAAGCACCCAACATGATGCAAGTGTTGCCCTACAAGTTTAATTACCACTATAATGAGTGAGTCAAATCTTAATGGATAGACCACAAAATTATCCAACTATGATCTCAACAGATTTTTCTTAATATTTTACAGCATTCTGTAAGAGACCCAAGTTTTAGCTATTTCGCAAAGTTCAGATGGTTATTAGCACAAGTTACATGCAGTAATCATTAAATCCTACTATTTTGGAAGTTGGGTGATTATCAGCCCATGTCTCTATGAGCTGTTGTCTATGATTAGTTGGGATGATTATCAGCCCATGTCTCTATGAGCTGTCGTCTATGCCAACATGTGATCAATGAGTGATGCTTCAATATTGGTTAATGACACAAGAATACAACTACTAACTCCTAACTCCTAACTCCTAAATAGATGTTGTGATCAATGAGTGATGCTTCAATATTGGTTAATGACACAAGAATACAACTAATAACTCCTAACTCCTAACTCGACAAAAACAAAACCAAACGAACCTCTGTTCCAACTTTAAAAAGAAAAGACGGGTCAGCAAGCATGCGGTTCCGAAGCATCCCGCAGTATCTCATCAAAAAGCCTAAAGGCCAAACTGATCTCTGCAATATCAAATGCCAAAATAGGCTCCAATTATAAACTAATAAAATAGTACCTGATAAACTTTTGATGTGATGAAATGCACTGCACATTTACCTGTAAATCCAAGTATCGAGCGAGAATAAGTCTGCGAATCCCTGTAGACTTGGCTGCCTCTAACATATCCGAAGGAAGACTAGCCCCTTGCATCTCCATCTCTCTAATCACCTCCTCAAATTTCATTATCGGCCCAAACTCTTCCTCATCGTTATCCCTCTCTCCACTATCACCACCCCCGTCGCTGCCACCGCCGTCTCCTCCTCCAGAAGAAAACCTCCGATTTCCACCACCACCACCACCACCACCAGTTCCATCGTCAGTTTTTGTTACCGACTCAACCTCTGAACCCTCCAAAACCATGAATGTCTTTGCCAGTCTCTCTGACTCGGCACATTTGACTCTGAACACTTGGTTGTTCCTAAATGAATTGTGCAAAGCAGGAAATCGCGATGACTTTGCAAATTCGAGATTGGGGTTTCTCATGCATCCTAAAACCCTAACTTCAACAGTTTGATTGTGACCCCATTGCTTTGTTGAATCAAAATTGATCAACTGATTGTCAATTTTTGACAATCCGAAGCTTGACGAGTAAAGTGCCATATTTCTGACCAAAAATCACAAATTTTTTTCGAAATGACGATCAAGAAAACAAAATTCAAATGAAAGAAAGAATGATAAATTAAAAATCTAAATATGATCAAAACAAAAGAACTCTGAAACGTTTCAAAATCAGGGCTCGTCCGCAGAGCACTCCCTATTCTCTCAACAAAGCTTCTTTAAAGGCTGAAGAGAGCTGAAGATGATAAAACCCTAACGCTTTGTTTGGTATCAATTATTTTAGGATTCGGAAAAGGAATCGGAATTAGAAAAGGAATTGGAATTAAAATGAAATTCTATTTCTATGTCTGATTTAAAAGGGAATTTGGAATAAAAATAATATTATATTATTTTTGTCCTTGTTTAAATGATAAATAAAATATTTATTTTATTATCAAATATGCTCCAAAAGTTACATCAAATAGACAAATAAAAAGAAATTTATTTATTTAACAGAACACGTAAAAAAAAAAAAAAAAAGCAATTATTTTTTAATTAAAAAACTAACTTATTAAATATCACCAACTTGCTTAAAAAAAATCATTAAAAAGTAAAATAATGTTGGTAAACAGTTATATGAGAGAGTGGTATGGAGTTAGTTAAATACCGTTGGAGATAGAGATATGCTAGTATATATTTAATACGATAGGGTTAAATGGGAAGAAGACGGTTGGAGATTGAAATAGGTTAAGTAGATATTGTACAAGGTTAATTAAGATAATATCGTATTTATATTCCAAATCCCGTCAAATCCTGTCGTTTTAGACAAGATTTGAAACACATCAAAAACAGTATTTGAAATCCCATAACTTTAAAATCTCATTCACAATCCAATGATTCCAAACACTGTAAATCCTATTTCTAAATCCAAATCCCATCAAATCCAGCATTCCAAACACAGCGTAAGGCTTCGTCTGTGTATACACATGAGAGCAAAAGAAAGGAAAGAATTATAAGAGGAAAGAAAGGAAAATGAAGGATAGGTATAATAATATTCATGTTTGGACGGATAAAAGGTAAAAGAAAGGAATAGATAATATTTTTGTTTGGATGGATGGGTTTAACCTCATTTTTTTTTTATTATTTTTTTTTTTTTTAGGGCAAATCATTTCAGCCTTCCCAATCATTCCGCCACCTCATCCCTTCCCTTACGCGTGCATCCAGACTTAGGTCATGTTTTCCATCTTTGCGATATGCAATTGCTATATATATATATATATATATATATATTCCTCTCTCTATTTGCAACTGTTATATAGATTTCGAGACTCCCTCTCTCTTTCTCTTTCTCTGCAACTGCTGTATAAATATAAATATTCCCCTCTCTCTTCTCTCTCTGCAACTATATATATATATATATATATATATATATATATATATTCCTCTCTCTCTCTCTCTGCAACTCAAGAATCGTAAGTTCAAAACCCATATTTCAAACCCATTTTTGGTCTCCTGCTCTCCGATCCAAGCCCTTTCATAATACTCCTTTCTCAGAAGCTGCCGTTCGTACAGTTTTCGGCAAAGGTCTCATACCCTGTTTTTCCTCTACTCACTATTCAAGCTTGCCGCTTCTCTCATGGCTACTTTTGGTAATTTGCTCCCTTTCTCTCCAAATCCCTCCAAATCTTGTCAATTTTGGAGGGATTTGGTATTACTGTGTTGGAAGGATTTGGAGGGATAGGCTATCCCTCTAAATCCTTCCCAATCCTTTCTTTTCTCTTCTATTCCCTCAATCCAAACACACTTATCCATATCCTTCCCTTTCTTTTCTCTTCAAATCCCTTTAAATCCTTCAATCTAAACGAGTCCTAACAGATGTCTCCTATTGTTTATCTCATTATTCAAAATATTTCATTCCATTGCCATAAAAAAGCTGCAAAAGGAATTTATATTAGTGAGAAAACATAAGAAGCTAAGGGCAATATTGTGCCCTACGTAGGTTTAGGACTCAGCTAGGTTGAGGCGGGCCTTAGCCCTACCAAGTCCAAGGTAGTGGTAGTTCCTCAAGTAAGGTTCAAAACCTCAACTTCTGCTATACTGCATGGTTTTACAAGTTTTTGACATTTTCCTCCAAAATTTTAAAAATACTTGTGATAACACAATTTTTTTTAAAAAACAATAATAATAATAATATCCAAACTGATATATGAAACACAATTACCTCAACAATGCAACATTATTAGTTTATGAATACAACATTCAGGGCTAGTTTGGTGTGACAGAATGGAATCAATTAAGAGGGATGAGAATGGTTTTTATTCCATTCCAGTGTTTGGTAGGTTAAATTAAAGTTGAAAAGAGAATCAAGAGGCATTCTCGGGAATAACCATTCCCATTATTTCATTCCCTCTCTTTAACAATGGAATGAGCATTCCATTCCCACATGGAATAGAATTAAAAAAATTATAACAAAAAAAACCGTTTATCATCTCTTCCATCACTTCTTTATTCTCTTCCAATCCACCCCTTCATATCAAATCTGTTATACTCCTTTCCATAATCTAGTAACTTATATATATATATATATATTTATATATTCTTCGATGCATCACGTATTGTACAAAAAATACTTTGCAATATAAATAGATCAATAACATTTTTTTTCCCTGTATGGTAATTATTTTGTGTTTTGAGGTAGTATTCAATTAATGGAAGGGGTGAATCAATTCCAATAAATAAATAAAGGAATGATTTTTTTAGGAAGGAAATCTATTATACTCCTCTCCATAATCCAGCCTTCTTCCCCGTCTCCATCATCATCTTCTCTAACACATAACCCAAACCAACCTCCAACACCTTCGTTCACTTGCCCAGTTTCTTTATTCTCTCTACTTTCTCTCTCTATCTTTTGCCCCAATTTCATTCTTACAGACCTCTTTCTTACCCTTGATTGGAAAAAATTTCTTTAGATGTTAATTTTTTAGTTAAATTTTTTATTAATGATAAAGGTTATTTGAAGAAAATAACATAAATTTATTCCATTTTAGTTTTTACATTAGTCAAACTAAATGTGAATGGAAATCATCATTTCATTTTTACGCATTCCATGTTTGTAACCAAACAAGAGAATGGGAATCATCATTCACATTCCATTCCATTCATAGTTTCATTCCCATTCTATTCTATTTCATTCACGCACATCAAACTAGCCCTCAATGTAATAGTATTATGTTGCATTCTCAGAGAAAAGAGTGTTGCATATGTTGTTTCCTTTGGATGAGTGTCACATTCTTGATGTAATTGTTATTGTTTGAGTTGTATTCTTGAAATAATCCGAAATAATGTGTTCACTGCTTCAAAATGATTATGATCTAAATTCCACCTAACATGCCTTGAGTTACAATCTAAATTCCATCTAACATGCCTTGAGTCACAATCAGCTGACCTATTCTTTTATGGACTTACTTCAACTTTGAAATGTCAAAGAATAAAAAAGCACACACTCAAAGAAAAAGACAAATTCAAGAAAAGAGAACAACAACAATGGTACAAATATTAAGTATATCTTTTATTGAGGACCTTGCCCTTGTTTATACAAATGTATTCAGATTAGGGTTTGACTCGTCTTGCTTATCCTCCAAATTCATTTCTTATGAAATTGTTCCCATGTACAGCTCTACTATATTTAAATAATTGATTCCCTACGACCATGAGGATTTCGTCCATGATTTGTGGAATGCCGTTGGACCTAGGCTTGCTATCTGTGGGCTTGATGATCGCGTCGAGTTGGGCTTCCTTTCTGCATAGGTTCATGCTTTCGGCCTGGATCGTGGAATCTCTTGTTGAGCTTTGGATCTCGTTTCTAGTCCTTCGAAGGGACCTGGTTTACTTAGCCCAAAGCTGTTGTATTGGGCGAGATCCTTGCTGAATGACGTGGCTTGTCTTAATTGGAGAGGGAGATTTTTGCTCCCACACTTTGCCCCCAATTCCCTTTAGTTTGATGTGGTAGTCATAACAAGAGGGAATTAATCGTAGCTAGTGTAATAAATTGTAATGGTTAACTGTAGTGAACCAAAAGTCATGTCAGTTGAAAATTGGGATGGTATGCCTTGACGAGGGCGATTTATATCTGTCTTCTTGGCAAATACGAAGACCCAAAATCATGGCCTCTTAAGAGGTTGTAGTTGAAGTGCCCCCATGTTCAAAGGTGGCACCTTATGTTGAGCCTTCTTCTGTTCAAGTTGTTGGTGCTTTTATTTTCTTAGGTTGACAAAAATTAATCTTGATGATCAACTTAGGTGACCAGCCTTAATGAATAATGATGGTGATCAACCTTGATGATCATCTTTAGTAATCATCCTAGTGATCAACCTAGTGATTTTCTTTAGCAATCAGCTTTAATGATCAACTTTCATGATCAACTTCGAATGATCAGCTTTCATAATTATCTTGAGTAATTAGTTTAAGATGATCATCCCTGTGATGGTTGCTATTTTTTATTGGGAATCGGCTTTTTATTTCTGTAGACACTTTGTATTGATGATCAGCTTCTCATGCCTCTTGCTACTTCGATCATTTTCTTGGCGATTAACTACAATGATTTTACTATTTTGAAAGTCCATTGATATTTTGTGCCTCTTTATTTATTTATTTATTTGCACTCTTCTGTGTCATTGAATTTTTGTGAAAATTTCGGCCTTCAACACCTTTGTGTGTCCGAGGTAATTTCTTTATAAAAATTTCCTTCAGCATTCTTTCATACCTTGGAATATTTTGAAAATTTGGCTTTTTAGCAGCTTTGTGTGCCTTGGGCAATTTCCTTATAAAAAATTTTCCTTTGGCATTCTTTCGTGCCTTTAAATATTTTTCTGAAAATTTCGGCCTTTAGTACCTTTTTGTATCCGAAGTAATTCTAAAGATGCAAGAAAATGCTCTTCTATTTTAAGAAACCTTTCTCTCTTTCTCTCTCTCGCTGCTATTTATAGAAGTTTTTCCTTGCCCTAAAATCTCTTTCTTGGCCTTTTAGTTTGGGCCTTTTTGGGCTGGGCTTACTCCTAGAGCCATACTAAATGGGAGGCCCACTCTTAAAGTGGGTGAAGTTGGGCCTATCATCAGCCCAACAGCGCCCTAGGATTAATGGACCGGGCCGAATGTGGCCCCGTGCCCTAGGTTTGGTGGACCAGGTTACCCCAGGCTTGGTGCCGGGCCGAGCATGGCCTATTTGGTCTTCTGTCTTTTCACCTACCCGCTAATCTCTCTCTAATTTATTAGAGTGAGATTAATGAGGGATGAATCATTATGATGTGACGGCTCAATGTGATGA